ATAAAAGAATAAGCTATTGTATTTCAACACTAAACCCTACCTCTCTGAACTTATGCATAGGGAAGTTTGTGACGACTACTTTTTTCACTGTGGGCCAACTGGCTGTGTTTGTACGGGACATTCCACCGTCACCCACATGCACATGCATATTCACATATTTTTCCTTTTAATTTTGTACTCTCAGTTGCTCAATTTCCAACTAATATACTCATATTCATCTTGGATCTTGGTTTTTTCTTAATAATATGTTTCAAATAAGCATCTCAAATCGGCGTTTTCTATTTGCAAGCAGTCTTTTTTGTTTGGCTCCGTGCTCATTGTCTTGGTATAGAGCCCTTGTGAGTGCGCTTCACTTTTCCTTGACAATGAAATTTAGGATCGAAATTATCTCGCTGTTGATGCTGTCTAGCTTCAAAGAAAATGAACTATAGGATTGTATATACACTCGAAAAACTTTTCGCATAAACTATTTACACGACGAATTATTGTTGTGTATATAGTGACTTATTTTGGGCTACTTAGCCTTAGGGTATGTTTGGAAATACTTCTGCAAATGGTAGAAAAACTTTTGGTACTTTCAAATGAAGCACTTGGATTTTTAACAACGATTTCAACATTTCAACATTTTTTTTAATTATAAATAAAAGCACTTCTAACAAAAGTGCTTATAAGCAGAAGTGTTTTGTATAAAAGCAGTCTCAAACAGATACTTTGTTTGCAGCGTCTTTGTTGTAACTATATATTTCCTCCACAAGAAGACGAATAGCATATCATTATTTTACTATACTTGCTTATCTGACTTGATCCGATAAAGACGGTGAAAATGCATCATTATCTTGTATACTCATATTATCATATATGGTGTTACTAGAATGTGCCAACCTTTGTGAAAAGGAAAGGTTTGAAGGTTTACATATTAAAATGAAACTGCGCGTTTTGGTTGCACATTTGTTTGTTAGACTGTCCAACTTCATGTACATTGGCACGCTGTTGAACGCATAAGCTGTAATAAGTTGGCAAAGTGAGCTGAACGTCAGTCCGTCCAAATTTCTAGAACCAACATAGGAATATAAAAAATATATATATAGATAAACCCAAAAGATCAAAGTCAATCGAAGTTTATCCCCTCCTGAACCAGCAGATATAGATGATAGTGGAACCTTTTGGTGTAAAAATCTTGCTGGTGCCATGCTCAGTGAACCACGGCTGGGCCAGTCAGACCCTACATTTCACACAATATTTCTCATTTCTTTAATCAACAAGAAGAGCAACAAAATTTTTGACTGTCTGGACGGCTAGTATCAAAACAGAGGGATCAACTAGTGCTGCACAAGTTGAGCCAACATGTTAGAAAATAACTTTGATGTGCTTCAACCCCACAACAAGTGGGTAATCATTATCCTCAAACATTGACAAGAAATTCATGGGGTTTAATTATTCATGAAAATTATTATATATATCTGATAGTTGTCCGTTTATACCTTGTGTTTTTCATGTTTGGTAAAGAGTTGCTACCACCTTGAAGCAATAACTATCTCATTCACGGTTGAACTCATTACAAAATTCTTTTTCATATGCTAATGCAATTATGAAAGTCGTGGGGATGATGGATGAAGCTTGAATTTGAAGGATGAAGAGGTTTGCTAAACATAATCGATCATGCACACACGCGAATGAATGTGAATTGTTAATTGGTGTTAAATTTTTAGTAGATTGCTATCGATCAATATACTAAAAATCAAATGATAAGATTTGGATGAACTCCTTTTGAAATATTTATTCATTAATATGGTCATATACTAGATACAAGATTTGGATCACCAGAACTAGAGCTTTATGTGCCTTAATAAACCAAAATTTGAACTTGTCATATCACCATTGAGTTTGATACATGAGGAGCAGATCTGATAAGGTTCGTCGAAATCTAGCTAACTTATTGTTTTTTAACAATATTATCTTCTCTGCTACTAGTGTGATGTCGTGGGATATTATTGCTAGAGTTAAACTAAAGTAATCATCCAAGCTTGCACTAGAAATATATAATCAAGTTCACATCTTATCGTCCAAATACTTTCTAATTTTCCCATCTAGTATGGTTGTATATATGTACACCAATGTCTCTTTGGAAGCACTCTCTCGAGTACTAATTGATTACATTATAAATAAAGAGCGGTGTTAGGATCAGTCTCTTACATGCATGTAATATGCTTCTAACAATCATGCATGTAAGACTCACACTACGTTTATTTAACAAATAATGCACCGTACCATTATAGTAGAACGTTACGCATCAATGACTACCAATCCCTAAATGGCATTGTACTATGTGGGATCGAAAGATCTGACGGGAAACAGAAAATGAAGACACAATTGTTGAAGAAGTAATTGCAGCCGTCAGAAAGATCTGAAAAGAACCAACCTACCACCGTTGAAATGGTGGTGTCACCATCATCTCTCTTCTCTCCTGATGACAACATCAAGCAAGTTGGCCTACAGCTTACTGCTTACCCTCTTCTGAGCTTTCATTTTGGACCGCTAGTTCCTCAGCCGAAAAAGCCCTCAACTAGATATTTATTTTCGCGTCGACCAAATAAAATAAAAATAACAGGAAAACAACAACTCCTAGGAGATAGAAAAAGAACATAAAATGCAGAATAATATATAAAAGGACACCATTTTTAAATAACGAAGATATTTAATTTAAAAAAAATTTAAGGAAGATATTATATTTAATAACCTACGGAAACGGGCGCACACGGGCCCACTTTAGTGCTTTCACATAGAAACTCAATTAGCCAGTGGCTGCCTCTCTTGATCAATTGTAGCACATGCCCTTTTTTCTTCCCCAAAATGACAAAAGACACCCACTACAGTACATATGAAAGTTCGGTTTTTTTTGTTTTTATTAGTACGAGTGATTCGAAAGTGAGACAATTAATTTGTAAGGCAAAGTACTTTTTTACTGAACTAGATTCCGTTGACGTTTGTAAGTTAAGTTTAATTAAACAATTGAACGATTTTCTTGAAAAAGAAGAAGAAGAAGGTGAATGATTATGATTTTGAGTAGTTGATTAGTGTTAACCTAGTTATGCGTTTGTGGACAATTTTTAAATCATGAATCACACAACGTAACTTACTCATATTAATATTTCTTAATTTATTATATAAGTTAATTAGATCATAATTACTGTCTTCATTTATATACCGATTTAAAGGAAAATAATTACTGTGAGCAATCAATTTCTAACAACTTTAACAGAGGGGCCGGAAGGAAGTTGTAGAAAGTGTGAGCTTAATTAAGCAAACATATGATTTTTTGGCAGATTATAGAGGTAACTTTATTAATTATAATAATTGCCAAAATGTTTGTGGGATATATCTCAGTTAGTTGAGTTATTTCGCCTCCATCTATATGGACAGAGGTTTGAAAACCCTAGACACCCAATGAATATTTATGTAAACTCCCATATTCCAATCACTTATACTAAAATAATAATAACAAGAATTACCGACACATGTGACAGTATTTGTGAGATTCGCTACTGATAAGGTGATCTTATGTCTTTTTCACATGATTTGTTAATAACCAGTTAAGCTCCATTGTGTAATGTAATCACATAAAAAGCCAAGGCTTGCTTTCTTCAGATTAGTGGAGTATCTCTACGTATTTTGCTTTAGATTATGTACTAATTTTATTTTTTTTATCTTTCTCTTCTCTGGCTAGTAGTTTGTAGACTAATTATTTGACACTAAAAAGACAGATTTGCACATCACATACACAAACATTTGCATGCATGCATGATTATCCCTACATGTCCAAAGCATTCGATTAAGGTTCTAATACTTTGATAATTAGCAATCATAAATTCAATTTTTGGGAACTAATCATACGTGTAGATATTAAGAAAATGATTCAAATTTTCTTTATTTTTTGGACAAAAAATGATTCCATCCATTTAGCAAAATATAAATAGAACAAAAAGAGTAGGGTTTTCAAATGCACACTTGCCGCATACATCCACATCCCTTATCTGAAATACTGCTCTATTTATTTCATATTAAAATACTTTCAGAATATAATATTCAATACCCTCATATACTCGATATCATAGCTCAAATTGAAATCACTGCTTCAATAACAAATATAAAAGAGACCCGTGTCATTCCACTTAAACAGCACAACATGAGTTGCCAAAAAGAAAGAATACAGGGTAAGTGTAGAATAGAAAAATAAAGAATGAAGGGAGAGAAATAATAGAAGTAAAAAGAAATTTCTGTAGGATAATGGTAGAATTGAAAAGAGGAAGAACAAAATTGATTAAAAAATATTAAAAAGCAAAAGGAGTATAAGTGGAGAAAATAAGAGTGAGAAAATCAAATCCCGTATATATATACCAATTAATTAATGACACATAAGCTGTTAAAAGTTGAAACAACCTAAGAATTATTTGGTATATTATCGCATAGGAAAGTTCCTCAAAAACCAATTATGTGACCGTTTATACAAACTACTTATCTCAACAAAAAAAATGCAAACTAATAGCATGTGGTTTTTTGACTAAAACAAAAAAAGTTAGCTAGTGGTTTCCTTAAACCAATCCCAAACTGACACGAGTTCCCAAAGTAACATCCGGGGCTGGTAGTATATCACGGATTCACGGAAAGTAAAAGTCGTGGTCGGTGTGGACACGTGGCGCACGAAGAGCAGACAGATCGGATGGAAAATAGTCCGCATCAGCAGCCGCGGGACTGAAGTCGTTGAGCAGGTTCCGTTCAAAACCCCCCCTCCAAAATTGCCAGCTGACTCGGGCCCACAACGCGAAACCAAAAAAGCCAGTAAATCGCATAAATATCCCGGTAACTAACCGGCCACCGGACCTTCCGGTTTATTACCCGTATAGGTACGGCATACGATCTCATTTTCTATTTATATACGGTCGGAGATTTTTTAAGCGCAAGCGTCAAACAGAGCTCGTGTTTGTATATATAGGACCCAAAGAGTCTCATTTTCCTCTGAAGCTACGCTTTGTGAGCTTCGTTCTGAGGGACTCGCCGGAAAATTAATCAATTTTTTTGGAGCTTAATCGGAAAATTTATCGGAATTTGCCGAAAAAATTTAAGTGAGTTCATTTTCATGGAAATATATATTTCTTTTTTTCAATGCTTAGGGATCTCAATTTTCGTGGTTATTGTGCAAGCTTTTGAGTGGCTTTGGGGCGCGTTTCCCCGATCCAATTTTCCGGGAAAATACAATGAGTGGCATGACAATTTTCGATTTCCAGTTTCTGTTTCTTGTGTTTTCCGGGAAAATTGGGGAATTTTCTCACGTGCTTGGCTGATTTGATTTGTTTGATTTTTTTTTTCCTTTTCAGGTTAAAGAGTGAGTTGGAAGCAAGAAAGGCAAAGACTTTCTGCAGATCCGATTAAATTACAACAAAAAAGGAGAAAAAGGAAAAAAAAACGAAGCTGAAACTCTGATTCCTTATCTTCAATTTTATCAATTTCACATTTTTCCTTCACTTTCTGATCCGAAAGCTGAGAGAAATGGTAGTGAAAGTAGCTTCGACCTGTTTGCAATGGTCGCAGCCCATCGTTCCACACTCTCCCCCTTCCTCTCAATCTCTAGCCTCCGCAATAGCATCTCCTTCCTCAAAACGACGTACCCGTGGCGGCGACGGCGGAGCTGTTCTCTGCCTCTACGTCCACAGCTTGAACCGGTCGGCTCTGTTCGGAGCTCCATCGACGAAGCTAAACCGATCCAGGTCATGCGAGTTACCGAAGCCGAGATTTCGGTCCATGAAAAGAGCTTGCAGTGCGAACTTGGACGCCTTCTCCGACGAAGAGTTCTCGAAGAAAATTCAAGAGCTCGCTCTCAGATTCCAACTCTCGGGCGATTTTGACGGTGAAGATAACGGCAACGGTGACGACACCGCGAATTCGGAAACAGAGAGAGCTGATTCTGATAGTCGCCGCGTCAATGACTCTTCTTCAACGATGAGATTTGAACAGAACCAGAGCCTGTTCGAGTTGCCGCTCGATCTGGAGCTACCGTGGTCGTTCGATTGGCAGCAGCGGGACGAGATTGTTCCGGAGGCGAGCATCGAGCGGAAGGCGAACAGCGTCGACCTTCCGCTCTCTCTCCGAATGATCAAGAGAAAGCTGCAGTGGCAGGAAGGGTTCAGAGAAGCAGGGGAATCCGCGTGTTCCTCTGTGAAAAGGGCCTTCTCTTCCATGGTGTTCATAATCCGAGAGCTCCATACGTACACCTTACAGATGAGAGAACTTCTCTTCTACGAAGATTTACAGGGGATTTTGGGTCGTGTTCAGAAGGAGATGCACGCTTCATTCGTTTGGCTTTTTCAACAGGTCTTCTCTCAAACGCCGACGCTAATGGTGTACGTGATGATCCTCCTGGCCAATTTCACCGTCTACTCATTAGGCCACAACGCCGCCATTGCGGCTGCTCCGCCACCTGGGATATATTCCAGTGCAACTGAGACTACTATATCAGTGGAGGAAGTTCAAAATCACAACGATAAATTGGATAATACCCAATTTGATTCCTCGACAAGTAAGTCGTTTTCTGTGAATGGGAACGTGAATGGGAAAACGACATCCGTAGGCGGAAACAATGGCGGTGGTGGAAAAGCCCGACCCGTGGGCAGCGGCACGGAAGGAGACGGCCGGTTCGACGGGACGGACCAATACCGGACAATTGTCCCCGACGGAGCTTCTCAGTTGTCCTCACTTGGGACGACGACAGAGGCAGAGTCGGTGTCCGGGCAAGAGAGCAGAGAGGAGGAGTTGGCTGTGTGGAATTCGATAGTGGAAGAAGCTAATGAAATGCGAGGCAACCATGAAGCTCTGAACCATGAAACGATGGAGAGATTTGTTTCGCCGGTGGTGGCGAATATGGAGGGTGATGATTACGAGGAGTACTTCAGAACAGAGCTTCTCTACCAAACGGGACTATCCATAGAGCCCAGCAATGCTCTGCTTCTTGCCAATTACGCTCAGTTCCTCTACCAAGTTGCCCATGATTATGACAGGTACTGTTCAATTTCATCAAATTGTCGAAGTTTTAGTCGCTAATTTTGATTTTCATGTCCATAAATTTCTTGGGTTAAGTTCATTTTCATTCGTTGGTTGTGGAAATTAAACTGTCAAGTGGACTAGTGCCACAAGTCAATGTTTTTCTTTTTGATGCGTCTTTGGTGAAAAGAAAGATATAAAATCTCTGGGTTCTTGCCTTTGATTTTTCTTTATTGTCGTGTTGCTTTAATTTTTTTTTTCTCCAGTGATAGCCTGACAGACAGGGAAATGTGTGGTGGTATTTTCCCTTATTGGTCACGCGCTTCACTTGAAAAAAAAAAAAGAAAAAAAAATTATTTGCTTTGATTTTAATAAAATTATTTGAAACTATGTGGTCTAAAAATATATTTGTTTTAGCGTAATTAGATAATAATTAAAGTGTGATTAATGATGGATTTGTAGTTAAGTAGAGTGTGATTAGCTTAAAGCGCAATTACATGTGGGCTGACTTTCGGGGTGATTGTTTAATGGTTTGGAAACAGAGCTGAAGAGTACTTCAAGAAGGCAGTGGGGCTGGAGCCACCGGACGCGGAGGCCTACAACAAATACGCGACGTTTCTGTGGAGGGTTCGAAACGACTTGTGGGCTGCAGAAGAAACCTTCTTGGAAGCTATTTCAGCTGACCCAAGCAACTCATACTACGCTGCCAACTATGCCCATTTTCTATGGGACACCGGCGCTGAGGATACGTGTTTCCCTCTCAACTCTCCTGATGATGCCACCCAAGATGCTTAGTAATTTAAAAATTTTATAAAAAATATATATATATACAGAAGAGAAGAGAAGAGAAGAGAAGAGAAAAGAGCCGTCACCTTCCGTTTATTTCCCAATTTTACTCGGAATTTGGTATTAGAAAATCCAAAAAATAAATAAAGAGAAAAAAGAAGAGACTAGAAAGAGGTCCTTTTTTTTTAATATTTATTTGTTCCTGAAATTTTGGTGGCGGTGGCAAATATGGGGGGTGTTGTGGTGGTGGTGGCGTTTGGAGCGGAGGGAAGCACGTGACCTGGGACATGCTCACATGCACGGCAAAACTGGCATTGCAGCAAAGAATTTGCAGTGTGTTTGGCGTTGCGTGTTGTTTCAGATCTTTATGTGCACGGGGAGTGGAGCCAATCGGAATGCATGGCTGCTTTTCCACAGATTATCGCGTTTCCTTTTTTTTTTAATAGGGGGCGACACAAGCAATCACACGGCAAAGTGTAATTAGCCTCCTTGTTAATATTATGCCATTTTCAATTTTACTAGAAATGCGAAAACTGAAACATAATTTGGTGAAAGAAAGCACGTGTTTCTCGTGCATTTTGCTATGTTTGGCTCTGGAAATTTCTTCTCTTCAATTGAATTTTCTTTCGTGTTTAGTGGAGGGACAGTGCGTGAACTAAGTAGTTGATTTGTTTCTATCGGGGATTATGAAGACATGGAAAACCTTTATACTTTTGTCTAAAGAACAATGATGGCACGGTAGCACCCAATGAAAGGGCTAGTGATTCATGGGTGGCTGAGAGAAAAGGGAAATGGCAATCCAAGTGAGTTTATAAAGATATCGTATACAACCAAATTTTATACCCGAATATTCGGTTTGATAACCTGCTACTAATTCTTCTTCTGCTTTGGATAAATTGAAAGGTAATTTTTCACATTCTGCTAGGGAAGAAATGAGTAATAGCTCTGGTTGTTCGCTGTTCAAGAATTATTGTTTAAGCAGTTCATACCATCTCTACATAATGTTTTGATCAACTTTTTTCTCACATTTGGACCATTTAGTTAAAGATATCGTATTCGACAAATCAATGGAAACTCAACTTGTATGTTAATTATGCGATCAATCTTATAAGAGCAGCGTTGTGTACAATAATTTTTGGGAGCATAGGATTTAGGGTAGTGAATAGGCTCTCATGTAATAATTATGAACAAAGCAATCATGCTTTTGATGATGTATAATGAATAGACTCTCTTCACAATTATTGGACATATATAGCATATTCTTCTCCTTTAGTAAAGTTTAACCATGTGAAGTTGGGTGTTTGGAAGACTAGACCTTAACGCGTAGTCATAATTACAACTGTTTTCTTGGAAAAAGCAAATGACTAGATAGATAGACTTATTAGGAAGCATATGGATGAACAATAATGTGTGTGAAGTCAAATGGGGTCGTTGGATTGGGGGAATTGAGATGAGATTATTAAGTTAGAGCCAAGCAGAAAATGACGGTCATCACGTGAAATCGAAGATGGTGATGAATTAATCTAAGACCAGTCTCTCTATGTCTCCATTCATCCTCCCTCCTTCCTTCCCATGCCCTCTCCATACCTTTCTCACCTTAATCTCATTCATATATGCATGTGCCTCTCCATACCTCTCTCTCACAATCTCATTCATTTCGGTTGCTGCTTCAATCTCATATGTCTAATATTATACATGATGGGGCAATACTAGTATAAATATAGTTTTTTCGTGAAGAATTCAAATATCATATCAAGACATTTTGTGATAAAGCCTCCCACATACTGGGGCATGACATATAAATTAATATATAATTCACAGTGAAGTCTACACCAATCTACAACATTTTCTATTGAGAGGAGCGATAACATAATACAAGGATGCTAGGACTCGAACCCCAAACTTTTCTTGGAGGAGCAATTGCTCCAAACCACTACACTAATGAGTTATTTGCCCAAGTTTTGTTTCAAAGGAAAAAGAGGAATTCTTATTACTACACTTGAGCACACATTTTCTTTTGGGCTAGTTTGTTGGGCTGCAAACCAAATTTGGCATAGCCTAAGGAGAAGGAGACCCCAGGTCTGATCATCTTTGGGCTCGATCTTAAGCCTGATGTTTGTTTCTAGCCTACCTATATACGTGTCCATAGTTGGTCCAACAGCCTTATTGGATCAACTGCAGCCCAATGTTCAATTTATTTCCAAACGAGCCTGTTCAAAATTGTAGTAGTGCATTCACAATGGGTTCTCTAAACCATCTTCTTAGAGCATTCACAATGGGCTTCATAAACCTTCTCCTTAGCTAAAATTTAGGGAGGAATTGAAAAAACCCACCTCTAACCATGCTCTCTATTCAGCTCCTAAAATAGGGAGACCGCTAGGAGCTCCTAAATCCGAGGAGAGAGAAAGTACTCCTAGTGACTCTCTATAATTAAATGCTTATATATTTAATATTATTTTAAGCATTTCTTTAATGCCAATTATTTTCTATTATTGCTTTTGTGTCTACACTTTATTCAAAAATTGAATTAAAATTTATTAAAAACATTTATGACTCTCTAAACTAGGGAGTATAGTTGGAGTTGAAATGTTATAGAGAGCTCCTAAAATAGTTTTATAGTATTTTTAGCTAAATTTTAACTAAAAAATAGATAGCATGATTGTGGATGCTCTTAGACAAATTCTAGGGAGGAATTGGAAAAATACAACTCTAACCGTGCTCCATATCCACCTCCTACAATAGGAAGACCTCTAGGAGCTCCTAAATCTGAGAAAAGAGAAAAGAATCCTAGTGGCTCCTTATAATTTAATGCTGTTTTATTTTATGAGTATTTCAAACCTTTAATTAATGTTAACTATTATATATATATTAATAGAGATGGACTAATTAAAAAAAAGTATAGCATATATAACTCCCTAAAATAGAGAGCATGCTTGAAGTTTAAATTTTATAGAGAGCTCCTAAGATAACTTTTATATATTTTTAGCTAAAATGTAACTAAAAAATAGAGAGCATGATTGTGGATGCTCTCAGACTGCATGATAACTTTTTTAATAGCTTCAAAACAAGAATGGTCTTACAAATTTTAGACCAAATCTCAAATTTTTGTTAATTTGCGTACGAGTATTATGTACGGTCATTTTACACCTATTTCAATAAATCTAGGAGACCTAACCAATGAAGTTGACGCAAAATGGTAGTAATAGACTTATACGCTTACGTGTGTCATACACGATGATCATTACACAAATTGATGATTTTAAAACTTTTTATCTTTATGTGTGACGTACACGTTTACCGTTACACAAATCCAAGAAAATGGAAGATTTTGACAAAGATTGATAACGAATGTAATTTCTTAACAAAATATATTCCAACATGGCTTTACCTTAAAAAAACCGAAATTTTAGACCAATCTCCAAATTTGTTCATTTGTGTGTACGGTCATTTAACACCGGTTCAATAAATCTTGGAGACCCTAGTCAATGAAGTTGACGCAAAAGGATCGTAAATGGCTTATTATACCCTTACGCGTAGCATATGCGTTGACCATTATACAAATTAATAATTTTAAAACTTATATATTTACGTGTGACGTACATCTTGACCGTTACACAAAACGATAAAAATGGAAGATTTGATAACGAATGTAACTCCTTAACAAAATATTCCAACATGGCTTACCTTAACAAAACAAAATTAAACCACAAGCCGATTCTTCTCAGTTCTCTTTCATCTTTCCTTCTAAATTGAACTTTTAAAAAAAAAAACACCCTAAAATTCTAAATATACAAATGCAGTGCATGTAGGCTGAAGGGTGTGGGAAAAACATTCCACTCTCTCTCACTGCCTCCAACCAAAACCCTCGTCAACAAAACTGTAATGAATCAGAGGCAGTTAGGAAAAGTAAAGAAAAAGACAGAAACAGAACTGAAAAAGAAACCCCAGAAAAGAAAGTTTTGCAGTCCAGCCTGCTACAACTAATAAACTAAAACGCTTATCACACAATACAAGCATTTTAGCAATATTTAAGCCAACCAACACCATATTGGTAATTTCCAATCCAGTCAAAATGAAAGGAAAAAGAAAAAAGAAAAAAAGAGAATCCAGGCTTCACATTAATTATTAGTTCCTAATAGTTCTTCACAGCTAGAAGAAACTATATACTGAGTTGAAGATCAGAAGCTGGTTCTGTTGGTACCCTGAGCAAATTGAGGAGAAGAAACCATCTCTATCAAATCCATCTCTCCCTTTTCATTTGAAGAAGCGGCAGCAGCTTCATGATATTGATCATGTGCCATCAAATATCCCATGCTTGTGTTGTGAAAACCCAAGTGATGATGATCAGTGGAACTAAAAGATGATGATGAGTTGGCCGTCCCATTTAAGAGGTATGAGAGGTAAAGGTCAGAGTAGAGGGGGGTAGGAGTAGTAGAAGTAGTGGGATTAATAGCATTTTGTGTAGGCTCCACTGGACTAACAATTAGGCCAATGTTGTTGCTGTTGTTGCTGCTGTCAATGGAATGGGATGGCTGCTGCTGATGAGGATTGAAAGTGTGAACATTGTTGGTGAAGAAAGTTTGCATGAAATGAAGCTCCTCATCATTGTATAATGTATCACCCAAATTCAAAGGAGAGTCACAGCAATTGCTAGTTGTGGACTGGTCAGATGTCTCTGTGGCCAAAATGTTGAGGTGGGTTTTTGATGGGTTTTCATGAGAGAGAGTGGAAGAACTGGTTGGGGTGTTGTTGCTAATAGTGGAAACATTTGGGGAGGAGTTGTTGTTATTATTATTATTATTGTTGTTGTTGCTCATGAGGTTCTTGCTCCTGATGTAGTTTTGGAGTATGGAAGACTGAGGCTTCTTGTTGTTGTTTCCATCTTTCCCCTCTGCCTGCCTGTTCTTCCTCCTTGAATTCTGCCTCCTTTTTGTGGCATTCCAATGGTTCTTGATGGCGTTTTCAGTTCTTCCAGGAATGCGTTTCGCAATCTCTGCCCAACGGTTCCCAACCTCAGTATGAGCTTCCACAAGTATCGTCTCTTCCTCTTCAGTCCAGCTATCTTTCTGAAAAAACCAAGATACCAAGCACAAAATATGGCACATTGCACTCTAAAGTTATAAGCTATAGGGAACAAAATTCGTATGTGCATATATTACAAAAAAAATAAAATCCAAATTAGTTTATGCTTAACTGAAAAAAGGATGTGCATTTTCGTTAAAAATGATGTTTAATTACAAAATAAACATTCACAAATATGCCACTTACAGCTATTTAGCTAACCATAAACTAGGGTTTGAGAATACAATTTGACTTACCCAAACGGAAAGAGAGAAAATCTATCAGATCTATAAATAGATCCTTCACAATCTAAATTTGCGACTTTGACTTTTTTGAGTACTATAATATCGGTACCCATAGATCACAATCCGAGCAAAAATATAGCGACATTTGGATACTTTTCACAGTGAAATCCTAACTCGTAGCTAATTAATTGTGCCAAATCTAAGCCAAAGATTTGAAGTTCTTAGTTATTCATGCATCAAAGACATACAACAACATCGACACCAAAAGAGATTTAAGGACAAACCTTGATATCAGGGCGCAAATGATTATGCCATCTCTCTCGACACTGCTTGCCAGCCCTACCCACCAGCTTCTCAGCTATCTGTGCCCATTTTCTCACTCCATATTGCTTCACCAACCTGATCAGCTTCCTAATTCACCACACCAAAAACAAAAACAACCCATTAATTGTACATGCAACATTATTTGTGACTAGAAGAAATCAAAATCAACCAAACAAAGAAATGAAACATCCATAAACTTGAACCAAAAAAAAAAAAGAAAGAAAAAAAGGGCAAGTAGAGGATGATGACAAGGTTATTTCTTGTTATATATGTGACCTACCTGTCTTCTTCATCAGTCCACTGTCCCTTTATTAAAGCTGCAGCAGTTAAACCTTTTCTAGCTCTCTTTCCCACCCTCCTTTCTGAAACCTTTGCTTCTTCTATGAAACCAGTATTAGGGTTTTGCTCTGCCTGGCCACTCCAAGACATCATCAAGGCCTCTCCATGATCACCCAAAAGCCCATCCAGGAAGCTTACCTCTTGGGGATATTGAGCACCAGCACCATAGCTAGGCCAACAAGAAGCCTCATGGCCAATTGCACCACCAAAAGAAGAAAAACCAAACAACCCATTTGTGGAAACCACATTTTCTTTGCTGCTTGCATTGTTTTGGTGAGAGAAATTGCTCTGGCTTCCCCACAGGAACCTGTCTATGGCTGTCAATGGAGGACCTGGTCTATGCATATTTTGATGGTGATGATGAGGATGGTGTGGTTGTGTGTTATTTATAAGCCCATAAACACCATAACCACCACCACCTTCTTCTCCTCCTCCCTCTCCTTCCATGGAAGACACAGTTGAAGAGTGATTGACAAAAAAGAAGAGAAAAATTAAGGAGGCTGCAATTTGGTGAGAGGTTTTGTGGCTTCTTTTTTGTTTCTTTCTCTTTATTTTGTGCTCAGAGAGAGAGAGAGAGAGAGAGCACCCCATAACGATAGCTGGACAATTAGCATGTACTAGGCCTTGTAATGAGCCACATGGCTTAATAGCCGTACACCTGGAGGTATATCCAACGGTTGAGAATTGTCTTTGGTTGTAACTCCTGAGCTTCCTCTCTTGTACAAAAGTAGAAAGAGCCGGGGCTGAGGGAGGAGAGATATTAGTGGGTTTCGTTATTAATTCCACAATTATTAAATCCATTTTATTACAGATTTTTTAAAATTTTAGATAATTTTAGTGAGGTAGTGATTTGAGCAGCTACGAAATGTTGATCAATTTGGCGCCATTGTAATGGAAATACAATTTTACCCTCTTAATTAACACTCTCAAGGCAAATAATGAAATGAGGGTATTTTGGCCCAATGATGCACAAATTAAAAATTATGAAATTAAATATGATTTATTAGGAAGAGGAATTTTGGCAGAATTTTAATCTCCAGTTATAATTGCTTTGTTTGGGTACTAAATGCTAGCCAATTGTGGAAATAATTATATGGCTACTGCACCTATTCCAATTTCTTTCGAATTAAGCTCCCTCATTGAATTTTTATTTTCTTTTTGTATTTAGTAGTTTTAATTATAATTATTTTGGTTCCCTCAAAGCTTCGTCTTTATTTTATTTTATATACAAAAGATATGGGATGAGGTTTGAGCATAAGACTACTGACCTGCATGCCAAAGCTTCATCTTGGATTTTGACTTTACAGACAAATTTGTATCTATGACCATTTTGACTCAGAGAGCGACCGGGTTGACAATTTGACCTGATAGAATTTGAAGAACAGTTAGGACATCATTTTCATTTTTCAAGTGCCAGACACTGCAGTCATCCGTTACTTACTGGAGTAGATGAAGAGGTTTTAATTTGAAAATAAAAAGAATAATTGTGCTTAATAATATGCATATGAGTGATCAGCAAAAATAAATAAATAAATAAATTCACTCATTAATTTCTAATGGCTGGTAAGTTAATGATCATTTGACCAGAAATAATCATACTTTTTATTTTTAATCAACAAATCAGAAAAGAAGGATACTATTTAAAATAAAATAAAAATCAATGGCAATGAGGTATTCGAACTTGGAAACCTCTTCCAATATTGAGAAGAGAAATACCACCAGACCGACCAAGTGCTATTTGGTAAAGAAGGATACCATTTTTCATCAACAAAATTTTTGCTGGATGAATTACATGTAGAGGAAAATAAACAATTTAGTTAATAGTAGTGTCCCTCACTTGTGGTTTTTCTTGGCTAGTTAGCTTGGCCAATCATAACCAAGTAGTAAATGTAAACAGAATTGCAATTTCCAACTCTTGTAACTCATTGGTCCTATGCTTGTAACATATAAAATCTTTGCTTTCTCCATCAAAAAGAAAGAAAAGAAGTATATCCAGTACTTCTTCCAAGCCCAGAAACTGTTTGTGCAGGCAGTTTGCCTTTCTTTTATCTGAGCATGAGTTAGTTCCTTCATCTCAATTCTAAAATCCAGGCCCGGATCAGGACATCTTGGCCTTGGCGAAGAATATTCCGGCAAATAAACCTGGGGAGAAACAAAATCCATTAAATTGAGAGTAATGAAATCACAGTGCTATTCATTGTCTACAGAATGATTTTGCTGATTACCAAATAGTATACTGAAGAGGTTTGGTAGACTGAGAGGCACCTTGAACAGGACTAAACCGGCAAGCGAGATCGGAATCTTGTTTAAGGAACCCACCAGACTGTAAAGCAGAAGAACATCAGAAGTGCCTATATAGATACTCGTGAGAAGTTCATTTTGAGCTTAAGTATACAGCAAAAATTACCTATAGGTGGTGGGGCCAGTTTGATGTAAAAACCACATGGAGGTGAAGCTGATGGCAAGTCCAAGCAATCCACTAGCTGTTGCAATGACCCAAAACATAGGCAATTTGATTACATCCCTGCATATTGAGACCAAAGCATTAGGTAGAAGAAGTGAACTAAATGTGCTTCCAAGAAGAAAAGGGCATGAAGTTATGTCAAAATTAGAAGCATAAGCTTACACGCTTATTATATATTCCCATTCATCAAAAATAATAATCAAGAAGGCGGCAAATGGTAGAGATAACAAATTATTCAGCAAGACCATCGAAACTTCATTGAGAGAGCCAGATCTTGTGTATTTTTTTGCTTCATCCATGACTCGCCGTAGAGTGAGCTGTGACAAAGACAAAATATTTACACAAATCATAAAATGACCTGCACAAGAGCTGTAGTTGCTGTGGTCCAAATTTAAAGTTACAGGTCTCCAAAACAAACTAAAAACTAACAGATCTCCAAAACTATAGCTCTACTGCTTACTGAGTAGCTTGCTGTTAGTATGCAATTCGAAATCTGCCATGCGTAACCTAATGTATCAAAGGAGATATCTGTAATGCCACTGCTGATAGCGGAGATAATCTGCGATACATAAGAGACAAAAGTACTCATTGAAACTTTTATGTCAAACAGTTGTCTGGAGAAGAAACAAGTAAATATATGTCATTGACGGAGCAACATACATGATATGGGAATCAAAATACTGGCAGTTTCTTGCAAAACATTAACTATAGAGTTGATTACCATCAAAAACATGGCAGTCCACACTTTCTGACTCTGATGTTTCCGGAACAAATATAATTCTCCAATTGCTGTTAAAATATTTGTCACATTCTTCAGAATGGTGACCATTGCAATATTTACGTATTTCAAACTGAAAGGAAAAAGAAAGAACCAAAATACATTAAGTTTTAAATGTATGTTAGAATATGTTTTAGTAATCAACCATATAGAGCTTCAAACTAAAGAGAACTATATATTGTGGATCGTATCACCAATATTCCCTTCAGAATTTGGCCTCATTCCCTTTACTCTAGGCCTGAGCGAACAATAAGCTCCAAATTGAACCAATGAAAAGCACCTAAAAGTGCAGAGTATACAACTATTCAACTTACCTATACATGCCAGACACAAGCATGCCAATGAAGATTATGTTGACAGGGATCCAGACCCTGACCAGTTTCCAATTGAGCTTTTCCACAGTAACAGCTCCAGAGAAGCCCAAGAGGACAACAATTACGGAACTTATCAAATTCTGCAAAGAAGCATATGGAACAAATAAAGATTCCATTTGGCTGGCTAAATTTGTGGAGTTTCATAAGAAAAATTATCACCCAAGAAGTGACAAGGACTCCATTATTATTAGCCTAGCTAGAAAATACACAAAACAGGAAGACATCTGCAACTTATAAATATAAAACTTCTACATGGTAATTTCATCCTTACCGAAAAGCAAGTGGGTTGGAAGGGAGTGAGCATGCTAACCTGATAAAACATCAAGGATACTCCTGCATTGAAGTTGTAACTGGACAGAACAACTTTGTTCAGCAGTATCATGCTGCAAGAAGAAATGCAATAAGCTGTCCCCGACAACAGAGGTCCAGATTTCTTTGCTGACCCATGTCCACGCTTTTCATTCGGAATAGAGACAGTCTCGCCATGCCCAGCTCGACTCCCTCTAAACAATCTGCTTTAACAAAGAAAGAGAAACAAACAAAGGAAATGCGCCAAATTAGCAATGAGGCAAATTTACCACACAGCTTTCATATCCCATATGCTCAAGCTAAGAAGCCATGTGCTTAAGCTAACAGTGACCCCCACCAGCAGAAATTGGTAGTGTTTATCAAAGTTACTTCCAAGGAAGAGAATCAAATTTATATTGCGCAACTCTTTAACTGAAAATGCAAAAACCAAATAAGTCCCATTTCTTGTGGAGCTTCAAAGCCTCAAATTTTAAAATGAAGAGTAGGTAGCTGATGACTCTACCTGTCACTCAAAATCGTAGCTCTACGTTCTGGAAGAATGGTATGAACTCCATTTAGAGAACCAACTTCTGGGTCCTCACTATCATGGCCTTTAACTGCATCTAACTTGAAATCAGATGACATATCACCCACCTGCCAAAAAATTAGCAACCCAATTGAAAACTAAACTCCAATTTTCATTTTCTGAAACTCAAAGCCTCAAATCATATCCATTTCTACTCAAAGATGTATATGATCTTACCAATGGAATACCCTTTTTAGTTTAGTCTTCCAAGCTAGAGAAAATGTATAACAGAAGAAGACAAGGAATGGGAAAAGCTTAACCAACCACAAAAAGGGGTTTGAATAAAACCAGAAAGAGAGAGATATCAAAAGCTAGGGTAGTGGAAATCATGAAGAAAACGTGAATCCATGAATACCATCTTTTTGAAGAGCACGCAAAGGCAATTAAGTGTGGATCTGGGTCAAGTTGTGACAGACAGTACTCTTTCTGTGGCTGAAAGAGAGAAAGAAAGAAGGAAAGAGAGGGAGAGTGAGCATTAAGAAAGGAAGAAACAGAGTGGGTGAGAGCGATATTCCAGCTGAGAGAGGACCGCCATAGAAATTGAATAATATTTGGGAATGTGGAACACTTCCCCATGTTCCTCCCAAAGTCAAATGCTGGTGCTGACAAACATGATTCATCTCTCTCTACTCTCTCTCTAGAACAGGAAGAAGGTTAACGAATGTGAACTGGGTCTTCTTTGTTTTTGTCTCTTCTTCTCTTCTGTGGATCGAATCTGGGACGCTGGAATCTGGAATTAGCAAGAAATAATTTGGGTTTCGTATGGAATTTCAAACGGTTTGCTTTTTGAACGGAAATTACGCAATTGGTTGTGATCTGGGTTTGGGCCACATTTGAGAACATTTTACAAGTACCGCCGTTCGGCTATACTCTTTAAATATAATATATTCACCATATAGCCGCACGGCTATACTCTATAAATCGAAGATTTACCCGTATGGCCGTGCGGCTATAATA